CTTCGCAGGCGAGCGCGGTCTCGCTCGCGGAAAAAGAACATCCGACTCTACTTTGTTTACTGTGTGTAATATATGCCATGCGGCGCATACATACATATGCCTGAGTTTTCCCCGTACTTTAGGAGCAATTCTTGCCTTTCGAGCGGACGCCTCGGCGATCGTCGCCGAAAACTGCTCGAGCGCATAAGATTAGCGGAACAAAACAGCAGACTGGAGTGAACACCACTGAATTAGCATAAACGGTGACACGCCATGAAAAACGCGCGCCGACCGAAGGACTGCACGCGCCGACTTGGACGCAAAGCTGAAAATACACAAGCTCATCGCGAAACTGCTGCCGTTACGTAGTCCCTCTCATCCGCTGCGTCGATAAATCCAGCAGAGCATCCCGAAAAGCCTTCGCTCCTCTCCGGACGGACAGCGTTGAATCCGTGAATTACTTAATGCACTCCACACCGAGATGCCTGGGACCACGGGCGCAAGAACGACCCGCCTGTCGGGAGCGGGAACAGGGACAAGAATGAACTTTCTTACCGTTGAGAGCTCAGAGATTGCTCCCCAGTCCCACAGAGAAAATTGGTCGGTCGTCGACGAACGCTGCAACTTTGAAAATATTTTGACTTACGTTCCTGGCGGTTCCCCGATGTGTCGTGAAGGCGCGTCGAGGGAATCCGCGGGGACTCCCGCGATGGAAACTTCTTGGACAATCATCCGACCGCAAAGTGATTGCAGTTGGACGTGGACTCTTCGGCGAGAAGTAGGTGACGAAATGATTACCATCTTCACCAATCGATCGACCGACCGACCGACAGTAGAACGTCCTCCAACTCGAGCAAGTCGTTGATCGACCTCCTGTGAGTTCTCCATTTGACCACTTCCTCGGGGAGCAGCCCGGGTCCAATAATGACTTCGTCCCCTCACTGGACGGTGTTCGATCCAAACTTTTGGAATCTGCACCTCTCCCATCAACCGATATTCCTGGGACGGGCGTCAATTCCTCCGGTCCTCCGAAATGTTTACTTGACTCGAGTTTCGCTTCAGCTTGAGGTGCCGATCGTGAGATCTGAAAGCAGTTGCCATTCGAAGAGCGTACTTTCGACAGGAATACGAGGAATTAGCAGAATTTGTTGGAAGTCCGGCTACCGGACGTTTTGTGACGTTTTCGGGCAGAGCTCAGCGCTTCTTGGTTCGTCTGGCTGCGACGAGCCCATCATCGACATTTCCTAGTCGGGGCATTTTCAACAAATAATCTGATCAAGACGAGGATCTGGATCTGGATCTCATAGACTTTGCGGCTAGCACGGCTGAAACGACCTCTCGAACGAGCGTGGGCGAATCCTGATGACTCGGGAAACTCAGGGACACGACATCTGCTCGGCGGGCGGAGACTTTCGCTCCTCGGACTCCGCTCGACTCCAATCGGTTCCGAGTCTAATGACAGCGATGATCTTGTTATTTCTTGAACGAATCTCTTCATTTCACGCTTCGGTAGCGCTCTCAACGAAAAATCACCATCTTGTTTCTCCTCCCTCGGACTGTGACATCCTCTCGTATCCGCTGCTGTCTGTAGCTGACGTCAGGAATCTCGACGGCACGGAATGCAGCATTACGAGGATATCCAACTTCTGTCATATAGCAGCCAGATACACATATCTCCAGTCAGCCGATGCATGCCAAATCATGTTCGGCAGCAATCGATAAGGTTTTTGATGGGAATTCTCCCTTTATATGTTTTTGCCGGCTCGTAATCAGTTCGGTCCGTGTGCAGTTCCTCCAGCTGCCGCTGGCGCGGCTGCTACAACTGGAGCTTTCATACATTGCAGCTCGATATGAGAGTATAAACGAGTGCAGGGCGGGAGATAAACTAAGGCTGTGTTTTCGCTTCCTTACGCCGAATCTGTCGATGCCAGTGAAGACGGCGCGGCGCCAGTCAACATGGTGGTGGATCAAGCTCGGCAATCACGGGATAGAGGAGATCCATTTTTTTCCAGCTCTCGCATCAGTCAGCAGCGAAAATCCATCGCGACGCTCGTTTCCGGAATTGGGAATCCTATGGCTGCTTCTCTATTCGCCAGTCCCTCTCTCACTTTGAGGAGTCGGGCAGAGCGGGGGAAACTTCGCAAACTTCAATGAATCGCTGAGTGTTTCGCTTCTTCGGACAGATGCCGGAGAGAATATTCACCTAAGACCCGGAACGGGCATCTGTGGGAAATGTATAAACCGCGAGAACGCCTGCCAGCCTGCGAGCAAACAAAGAGCCAAGCAGGCGTGAGGGAATCGTCTCAAAAAGCTTTTAACAGTTTGTGCGTTTGCAGAGCGTACGGCACGGCATTCCCACCTAGCGTTCAGCCGATTGCTCTGTCGTTGTCGATATTTATTGAGAAAAATTGTTATTGACAGAAAATCGGCAATCCGCGGGACAGTCCGACACACGTCCGCCGGCTTTTTTCCGCCTTCTCTCCGTCCTTTATTGGTTTCCTCTTTTTCAGTTGCAAACAATCGCTACGTTTGCAACTAACGCCTCACGGTGCGGGACTCGCTGACACCGGCCGAATCTCTTCGTATCGATTGCGTCGATCAATTATCAGAAAGTAAGTTTGGGAACTTCCCAGCAGGGAGGATCCGCTGCGGCGATGGGAGAGTCTGCGCAAAGCGCTTCTTTCTACGGAGATAAACGGGATTCGCACCGTGGGTTTCGTTCGAGATGCTCTATTCGGGGAGCTCCGGGAGCTCCGGGGGAATTGCATTCGGCATCAATGTTTTACCTGGATTTTCTTTATGATAATCAGAGCTGCTCGCTGCTTCGACAAACTCTGCCGATTCGACGGGCGCTCGGTCGCAGGACGAGTTTTTGATTCATATGTTTTCGAAGTGGTCGTCATCGCTGTCGCCAGATTCGTTTCCGCTCAAGTCATTGCACCGATCGAAACGAACATCGGATTCACTTTTTTTTTCTCGTTTGCTCAAAGGAGCGCTCGCCCGGCAAGTCCCCTGGAGTTTCGGAAGTTATTCGTCGACGGAAATCGAGATCGAACAAGTATTTTTCATTCGCTCGAGAGTGTCCCGCATCATCCGTTGACGTGCTGTTTCGATCCGATTGAATTGGAAAATCGAGTTGCCCAGAATTGCTCGAGTTCTCGTAGAATCGTCTGAAAAAAGACCTCCGTCAAACGAGAGACAGCGTGCGTCGCAGTAGTCGATGCAGAAAATCCAAGTCTTCGAGAGCATCTCCGCGGAGATTAAATCAGCCTTCCTCGATTCTCGTTAGCTCTAACGGGTCTTTTATTGAGCCCCCTGCTTCCTGGTACAGCGGCAGACGATTCGTTATATGGAGATGCTATGCGTTTTATGGCAGGCTTCCTTTGCTGCGAAGCAATCAGCCGGTCGGTCAGTTTATTCCGTACTATTGACCGGGGCAGTAGCCGCTCCAAGGTGCTGCAGCATCGTAAAAACCCACACTCGTCGTGAGAGCCCAGACCCACAATGGGATTCGAGCCCAAGGCACATAAGATGTGCCGTTTTTATTATTGATGAAGATATTCACAATATGAACGAGTGCTAGCAGGGTCGCAGCTCGACCTGGAGTGACAGCTTTCTTGGTTCGATGTTTTGTCAGGCCAAAAACATTTTCCCCGACAAGTATGGACATGTGTAGGGGTTCTCCGCCGGGATCGAAACCCATATCCAGCACCTGTCACATATCGACCGCAGACGTTCTTCGACGAAACGTGGCGGAAGCACTCGGCAACGAAAGTGAAAGTCAACTTTATTGTGGCCGACCGGGAGCTATCTAAAGTTATACGCTTCTTCCGCTCCCTGCCTACCCGGATTCGAATACAATGAGAACCGCTCCCCCACAGAACCACCGATGTGAGAGGAGGTAGGCAGCAGCCTTCAGCTCGGAACCAACATCCAGGTCTCGAAGGGAACTCGGGTCTTGACATCTGTATCAACAAGGCTCCTCCTGCACGATGCGCCTGAGGTAACGCAAAACAGCTGGATAATTATTGTTGATCTCTGCCCTGTTGATATCGGACTCGGCGAGGGAGGACAGACGATAAGCTCCAGATACGGAATGCCGGTGACATGCGGAATATCCTTCCTCGAATACGCGACCATTGGCGTCGTTGCTCGAAATGGTTCCTTATGGTGCAGGGTCGATCGTCCGATGAAGCTGGCGGGTCCAGCGGATATCCAATGCAGACGTCTTGATGAACGGGGTTAGAACCTCGAGATCCTCTTTGGGACGGAGGCTTCACGGGCGTCCCCCTATATTCTCTGAGAACTTTTGTTCCTGAGTGAGTCTGATGACACCTATCCGAGCCCTCACGACCGCATCGCGTCACTCGTCCCGTGCGGCCGCTGAAATATGAAGGGAATGAAGGATTGATTAGAATCACAAGGGAGACTCGAGGCGCCGGCTGGGCAAGGCTGTCATGTCTCCAGAGACTGACTTGATTAGAACGTCGTCACACGGGAAGCTGAATAGCGGCGGGCTTACTAGTAGTTGTAGGTATGCCTTACACGGGCTCCTCGATCCTCCCACAAGGCGCTTGCGGGAATCCTCCCGCTGAATAAGAGTGTCTCAATCCTTCCTAATAGAGGAAACGAGAGTTTTCACGCCGGCTCTCTTCTCCCCGTCCGGGTATGAGACCGTCTTCTTTTTCCGCCGTCATGCGGAGCGGTAGCCGCCGCCGGAATCCGTCAGGTATAATACCTAGGTAGCAGAAATAATACTCGGATTGCATGGCGTAGCGAACTTTCTTAGCCATACGAGTCAGTTTTCTAGGACTCATTTCCACACAAGAGTCGAATGAGAAGCTTAAGGGAATTCGAAGACGCATACGGTAACCTCACCTCAAATCATTTTATTCCTTCCATAAAACCCCAGACAGAGACCCATTTTTTGGGTAGATAAAATGTCGACGATCAGAAATAATATGAAAATCTTGTGGAAGGGTCGGAGATAGCTGCGGTCAGATTGATGAGAATTCCGGTCGTCAGTTGACACCGCGATGCAAATTGTCGATCTTATTGCGATTTTCCGCACAATACGCGAACGACTCGCAGCAGTACGTGCAGATCTCGGTGTCCATGGCGTAACCGCTCTGTATGCAATTCAGTTCACAGGATTCAGCGCATTTCCTTGAAAAACTCGTTAAAACCCCATTCAAACGAGTCACCTCGGCCTGAAAAAACGTCGTTTGTATTCAACTCAGCGCCCTCAGGCCTCAAAGCATTCAATTTGAATTCCCGAGAGATTCTCAAGCAACACCTCCACGTTACCGCTGTGATTCTGAGCTCGGATTAGAGGGTGAGCTGACGTGATTGAAATAGTAATTTCCCACTCGTGAGGAACTCACCAAGCAATACCGTGAGTTCTGACTACACTGAGCGATTCCACGTTCTCGTTCCTTCGGATCAGATGGCCCAGCGAGACAACTGTGGTTATGCGCGTATTTTTCCGCGTTGAACGTGAAGTCGGCATCGCACTGGAAGCATCCGACTCTCTTCCCTTGGTATTTTCCGATGCCTCCACCTGAATCCGGAAACGAACGCTCGAAGCTAATGGGAATTCCATCGGGAGCGATCGAGGAATAAGGACCAGAGCCTGGTTGAACCAGACAGGCTCCGGGCAGGGTTCCCATTCGGAGCTAACGGTAGTCAGAGAGTGCTAGCGGTCAACGAAAAGGTATACGGATCATATCCGCCCCGGACCGAACTCTGAGGGACGTACTCACGTTGGGCGGCCTCAGGCGAGAACAAAAGCGCAGTCACAAATAGAAGCAACGTCCTTTCCATCTTTGTTGGGTTGCGGGTTGAGCAAAAAATAATCTGGTTTACGCTTTCAAACCACGACAGCGAGTGTGGAACTCGGCAGCGGCATGATAGTGCCGCCGTTGTCAAATAACTCGGCGCCGTTGTACGATTTCAGGTGCTTTGTTGTCTGAGGCTACACACGGTCTCGCTGTCGCACCGCCCTACGACCGAGCCAAAGAGGGTCAAGCTGAAGATGACGCGGGTTCCCGTGTTCATTGCGGTGGAAATCGAACGGGTGCTCGTTAGTTCTTTTTGATTAACACAGGAGGCGAAATCAATTCACGAGTGGGGCTCATCAAAAAGAAATCGCTGACTAAGCTCGTCCGCCGAGCCGTCTGCTACGAGTATGAGCAGCAGAAGTGTACTCTCAGGGGATATTGAAGCACCCGAGAGTCGTCAAGCGTAGAAGACGCCCTCAAGCGTGAAGTGCATTTCAGGCGACCAGTTCCCCATAGCGGTGGTCTGTACGGTCTGCGAGGTCACCGAAGCTGATTGACTGCATTCATTACGTACATTTTATTCAGATCAGGTCAACCGTAGAAGTTGCCGCTCCTCAGTCATCTGACAGGGAGTATGATTGTCTGCAGGAATCGTAGAGCGCATCCTGGTCCCGGATACATATATGAGAAATGAAAAATCGGTTCCGGGAGATTTCCCGCGTCGTTTCCCCATCGGTTGGCATAATTTGGAGCGGAGATGTCTGCTCGAGTGATTCCTCGGCGGAAATCCAATGCACCGCTTTCTACATAGATGCGTCGAATTAAAGAAGCTCTCGGGTCAGCAGGTCCCCACCGAGTCGGCATCCGTATCGATGTTACCAATGGAGAAACGCAGGGATTGCAGCAGAATCGAAGTTTCCACATGGGAGGGCAAGGTTTCAATTCTCTGCGACCTCTCTCTATATCACGGACAACCCTCCCGGCTCAGAATTTCAAGAAGAGATATTGGCAAACATCTGAAGGGTACGTTGGAGTTGTCGAATAGTCTCACGTCTTTCGGAAACGATATCATTTCGATATTCCCGACAGGAAATCGATATCGTGATGTGATAACTACTCGGATCGTTTTTCTTCCTCGTCGAGTGAAGTTTCCGAGTTCGTGCGGATCAAAACTCGATATCATGTGGCTGCTGATGACGCGAGCAGCGCCTCGAGCGCCGAGCACGTCCTTTTTTCCGAAAGGTGAAGCTTCTAGCCCTCCCGTTCCCCTCGGTCATTTGCTCAGTCTGCGTAATCGATAAGCTCTCGCGCTCGCAGGCGAACTTTGACGGAATAATTCTCTGTACACATCTGAATTAACGCAGGAATGGAGCGTAAAGCAGCACCGCCGCACGATGTACGCGCTCTCCCTCGATCCCAGGTGCCCAGATACCGCTGCTCGCGGGGAAAATTGAGGAGAAAGAGAAAACAGGGAACCGAGAACAATGTAGATGGGAGTCAGCCTGAAAATGCTGGTTCCAGAGGCGTAATTATCCGAATCGAGCGACCCATACATTAAACTTGATGAGACAGGAGATAGATATCACTCCGGCAACAAAAAAAAGTTGGGGAAGACGGCCGGCTCTCGCGATGGTTCGCGAGCCGTTCGGCGGAATTCGCCGGAATGAACCTTCAGATAGCTTCCCGCCGAGGACGAGGGAGAACGCCGAGATAGGAAGAGAAACGGGGACGTTCCGGGTCTCGGCTGCAGCTGCTGTTCCTGCGACGGAGTCCCTGTTAGTTTGTGCCCCTTTCGGGGAGGTCTCTTCATGATTCCCAATCTTTCCCCGTTTGGATCTGATCTCCTCCCGTCCTCCGCCGGTCTCGGCGCTGGCTGGCCCTCCGCCGTTTCTGCGATTTTCCTACTCCGCTTTTTTATCTAGCTTTGGGTGGATTAATCTAGAGCGTGCTTTTGCTTTTATCTGGGAGAAACGATGGGGATGAGCAGCAGGCAAATCACGTCTGCCCCTCTCTCGTCTCGTAAGCAGGGACTCAGTCAGCCAGCTCCCCAGACAGTCGGGAAGCCAGTCGGTCGGTCGGTCAAGCTGGCTGGCTCCGGAATCGTTCCCAGGGAAGGATCCGTTGTGGCGACGACTCAAGCGCTTCGTGGGACCGTGTTCTTGTTTTCTTGTTGTAGCCGAGCCTGGGGCGGGTCTGCTAATCACGACCTCATTTTTCGTCTACGCCCTCGCCTGGCACTGAAGCCCCTCGTTTGTCTACGGAAAAGGATCCTCTTACTCTTCGGTGAAGATGTACGCAGTGGAGTATAAGGAAATAGAGGCGACGTCCGATTTCCGTACGTGAGAATTTTATGCTCGCCGGCGAATCGCGTTGAAAGACGGGGCAGCCATTGAATATGTGGCTTTGGGTTGCCGGAGGTTGTTGACCGAATTCGTGAAAACGTTTCCCAACACTCAGAAGAGACTTCAATTTTCCTCAAGTCTACTTCAAAGGAAAATTGTTGAATGCTCCAGGCAGGAGCTGGGGCCTTGTACAGGCTATGTGTGACCGCCGGAAAATCGAAGAGCTCCCCATTCAGCACTCGCGTCTGAAGGCGAATAGCTCGAGACGGCTTTCATCTCTCGAGGTTCCTTCTACGTGTGTATATTTCTTTTCTATCACAAAAGCTCGGTCGTTTGGTGGTTTCGTTGGTGGGCCGCTGCAGCGTTTGCGGCAACAACTGCCTCCTATTTGACAAGATAAACTGCACCTGGGAACAACATTACAACTAGTGTACGTTGCCATTCACTATGCACTGCGTGTTCAGCTGGCACAGTATGAAAACGATGCCCAGACAATAAATTCCGGGTGCCCATTGCGACCACCATGCCCCCGGCCAGGCGAACACGAAATTGTTCTTCGCTATGCTGACATCATGCGCGTAATGAATGTCACAATGGAACGGGTTTGATGGAGGCTTCAACATCATCACCTGGTTTCCGGTTGAAAGCATGTCGACGAGCTCCACGGATACTGAGGTAGTCGATCCTTAGCGATGAACTTCGATGAATATCTCCTATTTATTTCGTTCGGGGCGTAGGTTTATCACCTACGTTGTTGTCTTTAGAAAAAAGGAGGAGTTACGGATCAGGCACAGGTTTTGTTCACCTCAGATCGATGCCTGACAATGTCTCTTACATGGCGGAAATTTCGCCCGGGGAACGACCGGAAGTGACGTGAAAGGTCTCCATTCGCTGCTCCCAGATGACGAACCGAAAGCACCAGAGGACGCCCGTCGTCCATCGACATTCGACCCATTGTTCTCCCCCTCGCTCCTCTTTCTCCTGTCAATGGATTCGGGCCTTGGGAATCTATATCCTCCGAAGCTGCTGTTGCAGTGATTCCCCAGTGTTTCGCGCAACTCGCAACAATAAATGGTTCAGCATCAGAAAAATTCGGACGGTGTCATCCCGTCGTCGGTAGTGTGGTGAGACGGCGCCGCCGGTGGGAGGCGAGGGAGCCCCACGAGAACGGGGGAGTGAGGTCTTGACGCAGACAAACTAATCTTCTCTCTCCGGCGATGTCTCGGCTCAAAACACTTCTCGAAAGAAAACAAAGGGAGTGTGACTGAGCTCGATCCCAGGAACCATTTTTATCTGAAGTAGCTTCGTTTTCTCCTCCCTCTCCTCGGCTGTCAGTGATGGCTCAGGAGGCCTAAAAACTTCACGAGACGCCCATCGGGGTTAATTGGGCTCTCCCTTCACTCGCTTCTACCCGTACGCAGGATCGGGGAGTCGGGGAGATTCTCCGCAGCTGAAGTCGCTCCGGCATTTGCTCAGCTGGCGATCGACCGGAGGACGAAACTAACGAAGGAGCGAGAGCTTCCTTGAAATTTCCACGGCAGACCTCGGGTCCATTAGGAAATTAACGAACATTCCTCTAACATTTCAGAGGTGCTCGATACCATTTCAGAACAGCGACACCACGCTATGATCGTTTCATTCATGGATCCGATGAGATGACTACGCAGTCCGACGACGAATTCTCCCACGGCCACCGCGTTTTTTTGGGAAGAGCAAGATCCGGGTTCGTCGTCCCCGGTCCCGAAGTGATACTTGTCATTTCTCCTTACCGTCCGGTGCACACGAAGATTCCGTTTAGAAGAGCAGCTCCCGTATCATCATCGTATTCTAGTAGCATAGAGTTCGCTCCCATCCCTTCATGCCTTCCCGGGAAGCCTGATGCTGGAATCTCATGGAGCTCCTCGAACTGAAAATCCCTAGAGCTCGGAAATCGTTCGCAATCTTCCCGTATCTCTCGAGGGTGGGAATCGAGCGCGGGATCCCAACTCACGATACATTGCGTTCTCCTCGGAACGGAAGATAGTTTCGAAAAGCTGTAACCGCATCTTCCTCCGACGTCCTATCGCTTGCATATTCCGGAGGAACATTCGAACAGATGCCTCAGGATCCAAACTCAAATATCCCTTCTGCGTTCGGAAATCCGCATCGATCGCGAGTATTCGACGGAGAAAGTAAGACATCGAGACCTGAAGGCTTTAGACGTACGAAGGAAATATCGAAATCCTCCGAGTTCCCCGCGGGAGAGACAGAACCCGAGGAGTGTCTCGGGCATTCGAGCAAATCGTCGGCCGATCCATTTGCTCTACTCCGAATGCCGCAGATCCGTGACTGGAATAGGCTCACTCATACCGGAGGAATTCGCAGCATGAAGTAGTACTCCATAACGAGGGGAGCCGCAATAAATTTCTGTGGCGCCCCATGAAAGTGCTGACGCGTAAGATTTACAGCACTACACTGCCAACGGGCCAGAGAATTAACGGCCGTGACAAACGGCTGTTGGTGGTGCACCAAGTCAGTATTGTGTTGTATGTACTATTAGACGTCACTTGCTCGTCCGACGTCCTCTCTGCCTCCCCTCATCTATTTATCCCGCCGCCGCTTGATCCTGTATCGCTGGGGGTCCAGGCCTCCGCGGGGAGCGATGTCTACAGCGCATGACGGGGGAAAACCGGTGAAGCCCCGAGAAAACCGAGAGATGAATAGGAGAAATTCTCTGGGGTCGGAACGGCGGCGAATCGATATCAATTGGGACCTCAATCAAGGTCGAGGGCTGATTCCACCCCTTCGACCCCGACGACAGCCCCGCCTGACCCTCTGCGCCGACCGCAGGAAATCTTTCGACCGGAGTGACGTCGATTCAGTAGTATCGAGAGTCGATTGGTTCGTGGATCCCTCGAGCTCCTACCGCGAGTTGAGCCACTTCAATTTGGTCGCGTGCCATTCATTAAACGCGCCGGGAACCGAGGAGGCATCGCTCTGGTGGGCGGTTTCAAGAGATCAAGAATCCCGCGGGATCACGATCGGCTTCTACTCTGTCGGAATCTTTTGACGGGAACCTGCCCGACGGGAGGCGGATTTCACCTACCGCGTGAATTGCGTATTCGCGAATTCTCCGAGTGGAGTCTCGGGACTCGGAATGTAGTCCTCGCGGGAGAGGATTGTGCGCTGACCTCACGACCGTCAGCCAACCGCGAGTTCTTGCTACCTCGCATGGGAGCGAGTCATTTGAAGCTCCATGTTCGCCGGACCTCAAACGCGACACTGCGAGTGAAATCGCTCAATACCAGTCACTCATCATACAGTTTCCTCATATTTTTTCGCTCAACAGCCTTCACTCATCAGATGTTCCGGAAGCCTCTTCAGAATGAGGTTCTCCGCCGAGTGGGATGGGGAAGTTTCCTCCAACGACGGAGAGGTTCTGTGAATATTGTTCATGTATTCCTGCGGTCCTCGGAAACGATGGGCTTGATAGAGGACACCGCTTATGGTAATTACTTGCTGCCCTCTCCGTGACGTACACTTCGTAGACTGGAACCTTCGCTCCGGCCTTGATCCTGTCGGACACATCTGCCGTCGAGATCTATCCGGAGCAATGACTCGACGGTGAGTCTCACTTCGAGATCCATTCGGGATTCCACAGCGTATGGAGGCGCCCAGGACGAGCACGTGTTCCCGACGCGCGTACCAGCTACCTGTGCGGATCGAGCACTTTCGAGGTCACCTCCGACCGTTTCGCGCTGGATCCATGCGTCATTCCAACTTCGGATTCGGATTATCTCGAATATCTTGTCTTCACTCTCCGAGATGGGAACCGTGGAACTCGAACTGCGGGATGAGTCTCGATCCAACTGCGAGCTTCGATTTACGTCATCAAACAGAATTCATCCTTCAATTATACAAAGGTGAATCTCGAGAGCATCGTATACGGAGTAGGGGCAAAAAGCGACTTGGCTTCTCCTCGCGAGATGCCCTTCAGCCGCGACCCTTCCTACGATCCTGTCAAGCACATATATCATTACGAAGATGCAGGAATCTCATGCTTAATTTGATGTCACAAGCAGCTGGGTCAGGCAGCTTCCCTCGTGAACGGCGTCCCAACGTCGCGGCGCTTGAGACCAAGCCATTCATGAGGGTCCTCCGAATATTCTCTTTTTCTCCTCATTTACTGATTTTTCGAATGATGGAAGATAAGGCACTCCTGACGAAGTCACCGGCTCGCCCGTTTCCATTCGGAAACGGGACCCGAAAATGGAGAGAACCGGCTCGAGGCGACCCCTGCTCGGGGTCGGCGAAATCGGACTTTTTGTGACGGAACAGAGCCAAGACTTGATCATCTAAGGTCCCTCGATTGAACGATCGTCGCTCTCCAAAATAAATGCAGGAAACGATTTAGAACTCCGGAAAAAGTTCGAAATTATCGAAAGGTTGCGGAAAAGTTTAATGAAGCTCTCATTAGCCTCCGGAAGACAATGTGCTTCGACAGACACTGACTCTCCGATGCTCGATTGGGAGAAGTGCGGCGGAGAATGATCCAAGGAAGCTGCGAGAAACGAGGAAATCGATCGCGGGAGTTGCTGTTTGCTCTCGTGAGCGATGCTCGAGGATGAAGATCATGCATTCACGGCAAATAGATTTCATGCTCAAAGCAGAAACGGAAATACTCTCGTTTCAAGCAATAGATACCTACATCGGCATCTCGTTTCGGGTTATTCCGTAGGAAATGGGTAACAGTGGATTCCGGCATCCGAATGCATTGGCTTGCATCGCACTGCTCGTTTAGCACGTAGGATAGCTTCGCAAGGGAGACGAGGAGTTCCTCCAGGGCTCTAGGGCTCGTGCGAGCATCTGGGTCGTCAGGACAATCGAGCTCGTAAAGCCCGACAGTGTCGTAATTGAGGACTTGATGATGTGTCAATCGACTCGCGTGCCCGGAGAGGCTCTTAGCAAATTAGCCTTATTCGCGAATCTCCGATACATCGGATGATCCCGGCTTCGACCTCGGACGTCGCGATGGAGCGATGCCGTGAATATTCTTGAGGCGGACAAGCGACCCCGAAGTCTCGCGGATCCACGGACGAAGAGTGCGTCCCTCTTTTTCTACAGACTATGCTCGATAGCTCCCCAAAAGAGCCTTCTGGACTGGCCGTTCGAGATTCTCGATACCGCTCAATCGGGAAGAAAAACTCCCCGTCGGTGACGGGTCACCCGCAGGTCATTCTGACTTGTATCTGATCGGTATCTCGAAGCTCACAAGCTGTTGGATCAGAATTCCTCACGGTTAGTGGATGAACTTCTTTTTCAGGAACCACAATGACTTATCGATCAAACGGGATCCATTATAGCGAATTACTCGGACCGGATCGTTCCGCTCCATTTAGTTTCTGATGGCAAGTAATTTCGTTTTTTCTCAGCAGACCGTGGAGGCGGCTGCTCGGTGGAGAACTGCAACAAGATCGCCCATCTGATCACGGTTAGCTCCGAGGAGAGATCTGAGCGACAGCATCCGTGTGGAGCAGGATGGAAAAGTCGAAGAAAACAGCTCTCGGTCGAGTCAAGTCCCTCCAATCTCCAGAACCGCGCAAGGTTCGTCGAGGAGTTTTGTTGGAGATGATTCTATCTCGAAACTCCCCCATAGGTGGAACGAGCAATGCTCGAGATCATGAGGGAACA